TAGTGTGTACATGTAAAATAATGAATATTGTGATTACTGTATATAATATAATGCCGTAATGGAAAACGTTTGTATGCGCATGTGTATACTGTACTCGATGTATGCAACATATATTGACAATAACTGTGAAGTAACATTATGTGCAACACAATTAGTGACTAATATTGCAAAGAATACACGCCTAGACACTGTAAATAATGATGCGAAAATAAATTCGTGGCAACTCTGGCTGCTTGAAGACTGCGTGCGACGCCTCTGGGACGCACAGTGCATGAGCGAGCATGCAAATTGTGACGTCATCACCCATCTTGTCGGCTCAATTATGTCGCTGGTAAGTACAATTGAATTATTTTTTTATTTTTCACGTGATCAGGGAACATGACTTAACAGGTTAGGAAGAATTTTTTTTTTTTATGCGCCTGTGGGTGTCAAATGGTATATAGCCATGCGCCATTTAAGGGTTAAAGTCAAAGGTGGGAATTTCTGAAACAAAATCTTCCCCATAACTCCACACAAATACACCTGGTGTCTTCCGAGAGGCAACAGCAGGACGGTCCACAGCAAGGAATCCGTGGACCAGGAGCTGAAGCCCGTCTAGCAACAGTAGGGGCAGGAAGGGGACAATGAGGGAAAATTACCTGATGATGAGGGACTTTGTTCATCAATGTCCCCATGTGGTGGCACTTGGCTGGGCCAGATGCTGCTGACATGACAAAATGTTGTTTGGCAACACCAAGCACTCCACTGGCACTAGTGATAGTGAAACTATTCTCCGATTCTAAATCACTAAAACCAGAAAATGATTCACCATCCTCAGACTCATTGTCCAAAACAACATCATCTTGCAGAGTAACACATGATCTATGTGGTTGGGCGCGAACTGGTGTTGAGTGTGGGCGAGGAGGCATGGGTAACAGACTAGGCCTAACTCTCATGGCACCCGCATGCTCACTCTCATCATCTGTTGTATCCACATCTGAGGGCTATGTGTAGTCCTGATCTATGTCGGAGTCATCAATATCAGGTTCATCACCCTCCTGGAAAAATTCCTGATGAATTTCCTCCTCAGTTAAAGCTTGCAATGCACTCTGTGCTAAGCGGGTCGATTGCTGGAACGTGATGCTCTCGCCATGGTCTCTGTCGGGTAACCGAGGCCTGCAGGCAATGGCGGCCTACGGTGGATTTTTTCTAAGATAGCGTCTGTTTACAATCAGGGTTCAATGGACTATAGCTTCCCCTATACCTTGCAGTGCATTTAAAATCGTGCGCTAGTCCCTTAACCCTTAAATGGCGCAAGGCTATATGCCATTTGACACCCACAGGCGCATACAAAAAAAAAAAAAAAAATATTTTTTCTTCCTAACCTGTTAATTTGTGTTCACTGATCATGGGAAAAATAATAAAAAAAATCGTAAGTGGCATATATTGCCCGCTATAGGGCGAGGAAATCTGGCAAAAAACAGGCGCTGACTCAGCGTGCGTCCCAGATGGTCTGTTGCTCGCCAGCTGTCAGGCCGGAGTTGCTACAAAGAGATAATTACCTAATTATTTCAGTGTCTCTGATTGATTTTTCATAGTTTTTTTGCTGTAATATTATTCAATAGTGTGTAGTGTGATATATTTATATAATAAAATGAGTGAATCATCGCTGTACTCAAAAATATGGTGTGCATATTGTTGATTCAATTATGTTCATCAAACAGTGAACAAATACTTTGTCGATTATTACACTATATACACAGGTTATATATAAGTATCTGCATGTTTTGTTCACCATAACGAACCACTAAGTTGCTATTATGAGTCAAAAAGTAACGAGGAGTGACCGACCGCCGTGTACCAGCCAGCCACTCACGCCTTCCCTCAAGTCACCTGACTCACCCACATTCTCTTCCCACAATACTGTTTTTGCTTTTATTCACTATATACAGACGCTATATATAAGTATCTACATTTGTGTTCACAATAACGAACCACTAAGTTGGTATGCTGAATGGCAGTGGCAGTGGCAGCCAGTGGCAGCCCGCCACTGGCTGCCACTCCCTCCCTCACTCACCTCGCCTGACTTGCCACCATTCTCCACCCACCATACTGTTTTTGCTTTTATATACAGACGTTATATATAAGTATTTACATGTTTTGTTCACCATAACTGTACATCTAAGCTTGTGTGGTGAGTAAAGGCACAAAGACGTAGGACCTCACACAGTCAGCTGGCTGCCGCCCTCAAGGCCAGATGCACTAATATTTCTCCTCCAACAATACTGTTTGTGGTGTTATTACACTATATACACACATTATATATAAATATCTACCTGTTTTATTCACCATACTTGTACAAGTAAACTGGTATGGTGCCCAAAGACCATCGTGGTAACCAGTAAACAACATGATAAATCGTGCAGACGACGCCACCGCCCTCACCAAAATGGCGGCTCCCAACCTACTCCTCTTGCTGTTTATACCCTCTATACACACTTTATATATAAGTATCTACATTTGTGTTCACCATAGCGAACCACTAAGCTGGTATGGTGAGTGCAGTCAATAAAAGGTGGCCACACACAGTCAGAAGACATCACCACCACCTTCCCTCCCACAGCATTACTCCTCCCTCCATGGCGCACAGCGCTAAATATCACCACAATCCTGCTATTATCAGAACCCTGGTCAGTTTTATCACAGTCAGGGGTCTTCTGTAATAATATCATCGCTACATAATAGCATGAACAAGTATATTATGGCATTTTTAGGCAATGCTGTGGTCACAAGCTGAACAGCAGTGCTGAGAGCTCATGCTGCGTGCGTCAGGCTTGGTAGCTCACTCAATACAGAGGCCCCTAACACCCGGGAATTTGGGCCACGATTTTTAAAAAAAATGGAGTCTGTTTACAAGAGCCCTGATGAAGGTCTGAAGGTGTGGTGAACCCCGTGTATCCGCGGGCCGTTTAAATCTTGTGTAGTACTCCAAAGCATTACTGTACATGATGCGATGCGCAATTTACTGCAAGTCGGTCAAAGCATCATATGATGCGATGCACAATTTAAGGGTTAATCGTATATGTATGATGTGCACCATTCTGTGACAGTTATTCCCATCGTATATGTATGTTTTGCACTATTTAAGGGTGAATGGTGTTCCACCTACGGTTTTCGTCTCAGCGACAGTATAAAGTCTCTTGGCGTTCCTTTCACCATTTTCTCTTTCTTCGTAGGTTGTCGTCTGTTTCCGTTTGGGTTGTTTTGTCCTTCCTTTCTTGTCTTTTTCAAAACCGTCATCTTATGCCAAATACTGTCGCCTCTTATCGTGTGGCGTTTTCGAAGCCGCTCCAGCTTGAGGTCAGGGTTGGTGTCACTTTTGCTCCGTTCTGTAAGCTTTCTTGTGCTTTGTGTCACGTCTGGTCTGCCTATGCTCTTCCTGAGCTGTCCTAGTCTTTGGACCGGGTGCTCGCCTCTCCTTGTACTCCTCAGTTTGTAGTGGCCCCTTCGGTCCAAGACTGATTTCAGAAGTCTCTGTTTCTGTTGGCTTTAGCCTCTGGGGATCGGGTCACTGAGCATCATGCTCTCCTGGCACAGGGGTTTCGGCTCGTTAGGTCCTGGTTGACGTTTTGTTCAGTTGCAGCTGTCTCCCTCTTTTTTGGCGAAGAATGAGACATTGGGTTTCCAGAAGGGTCTGTGGGTTATTGATGTTTGGTTGGTTCGGCCGGAGGTGCATCATGTGTTCTGTCCGGGTCTTCGCCGTTACTTGCGCGCCTCGGCTTCTGTGGCCGGGGGCGCTTCAGTTGATCTGATTTTCCCTCGTTCCCTGTTCCAGGGCTCGGGTCTCAGGCAGTCCGCAGGGTCATTAAGTCTAGTCACCCTGCGATATACCCTTGTGCCCATGATGTTCATAAATATGCTGCTCTTTTGACTGTGTTTGGGAACATGTCCTGGGCTGACATTCGACCACAGGGGTTTTGGAGGTTGAACAGGGTCCTGGCAGCCTGTTATTTGGTGAATGCTTTGGGGTCCAAGTCGTTCTTGTGTGGCCTTGGGCCGCTGCTTGCAGCCAGTTGTCTTGTCTTCAAGTTGAGGCACATGGTGATGCCGCCTCCCGGGTAAGTCCCTCTTTTACTTATCTTTGTATATGTTGGTCCAGGGAGCCGACGGTGCTCCCCCACAGAAAACCAGCATTGAATGTAATAAAATGCCATTTTCTGGGTGAGCCCCGGAGGATCCCTGACACCCTCCCTCCTTCCGGTCGGCAGTTTTGTTTTTGTTAGCTCAGTCACCGAACTGGGGAGACAAGCTGCTGGTGCGGGGGTCCAGGGCTTCCCCCTTCCCCTCCTGTGGAGGAAGGGAGTTGCGCGAACAAGTAGCTTGTTTTGTTTGCTTGTTTCCCTGTTTCTTTTGTGGGAGTTCTAGGTCTCTGTTCGGTCTTGGGTTTGCAATTTTCTACCAGGTGAGGTTGGTTTTGGGATGCCTATCTTTCTGGGTACCTAACTAACCCCGGTCGATGGCAGACATGGAATATTCCCAAAAGCATTGGGGTTTCTTTAGGCCATTGCTCCGTGCACTTCTCTGAGGGGGGCCAGGTTCTGGCTCGTTGTCCCAGTAGGCAGAACTCCAATTTGCTGAAGCCCCAGACTAATACTGTCTAGCTAATATCAGCCCGATGCTCCAGGGAGCCTCTGGGGCTCGCCCAGAAAAGGGCATTTCATTATATTCATTGCTGATTTTTTGGCTTAGACTACTTGATTTAATTTACTTTCTTACTTTCAGTGCCTATATTTTTACCATATTCCTTAATTCTAAGCATTTACTTACAGTACTTTGTTTTTCTTTCAGATGACCAGCTCAGTGATGGAGGAGCGTGTGAACGGTCTGAACACTCTTGCTGCCATAGCTCTAGATGAACAAGTGCTCTCTGATATTGTGAACAGTATGATAGTAGGAAAAGTGGCTGTCCTTTTGAAGGATCCAAGTATAGAAGTCAGAGTAGTTGCTGCAGGAGCTCTGAGGTAAGTTTTCAATGTGAACGTGAACATTTTTAATTGACCAATTTAATTAGATATGCATGATAAGATTACCTCATGGTTTTCACAGGATTGGTTATATTCTTTATACAGTGGAGCCTCGATTAACGAATTTAATCCGTTCCAGTACCTATCTCGTCATGTGAAACGCTCGTCTTTAGAAACGAATTTCCCTTTAAAAATAATGGAAATACTGGTGAAATTAATTCGTTCCTCCCAAAGAAACGTCAATGTGACATTTTATAATGTAAATATAAATGTTTTGTTTTACTACTGTATTTTCAATTGCACATGTACTTTACCTTATGAAGAGTCGTTGCTGGCTTGAGGGAGACGATGGGGAGGTGGGAAGGAGGAGAGGGGTTACGGAGTGGAAGGAGAATCCACCTCGTGAGTCAGGCAGGCTCTCTCTCCTTGGGAATTTCACCCCACTGGGACCGGGTTGTGGTTCACTATCACTTGCTAGTCTTTTCTCGACCTTGTGTCTATGTATGTGTTAACATGATGTACTGAACGGGGTGAGAATAGCTTGAGCTACCTCATACCTTTGTGTGTATTTTACCTCAATAAACTTATTTCAATTTCAATTTTCTCTACCTTTCCAAAGAACATGTTTATTGACAATTGCTTTTGTCTTCGTTTTAGGATGTTCATAAAACGAGACAGCAAATTGTCATTAAACACGTTCACACACTGGGTTGTCACTGCTTTATCAGGGTGATGCTTTTCCAAGAATGGGGTCACCTTTTCAAACATTTCCAACACTTTCCTGATCTCACTGGAAGAGGCTGCATCTTCCCTTACCTTTTCCTCCCCTGATGAGAGCTCTTGTACCCCCTCTTGACTCAGCTCCTTATGAAGTTCCAGGAGTTCCTCAGTGGTCAGTTCCTCACTGTGCTCCTCCACTAACTCTTGCACATCAGCAGCATCCAACTCCAGACCCAAAGTGTGCCCCAGAGCAACAATATCATCCACTAGATGCACGTCCGGGTCTTCCACAGGTGCAGATGCAGATGCAAGTGCAGGACCGAAACCTTTGAAGTCAAGCTCAGGGACACCCTCAGGCCACAGGTTTTGCCATGCAGAGTTTAGGGTCCTCCGTATCACTCCATCCCAGGCCTTATCGATCAAACGTAAGGCACCCAGGATATTGAAGTGGTTCTTCCAGAATTCTTTGAGGGGTCAGCTCTGTATTGTCTATCACATCAACACACCTCTCCAACAAGGCCTTCATGTAGAGCTTCTTAAAGTTGGCAATGACTTTCTGGTCCATGGGTTGGAGGAGTAGAGTGGTGTTGGGAGGAAGAAACTTGATGTTGATGAAATGATTTTCGGGAAACAAATCATCTTGCATCTGTGGAGGATGTGCAGGAGCATTATCGAGCACAAGCAAGGCCTTGAGTGGTAACTGCTTCTCTTCAAGATATTTCCTCACTGCGGGACCAAAAACATCATTGACCCATTCACTGAAGAATATCCGCGTGACCCAGAATTTCTTACTAGACCTCCACATCACATTCAGTCGCATCTTCTGCACTTTACACGCCTTGAACACTCATGGATTTTCTGAGTGGTAGACAAGCAGTGGCTTGACCTTGCAATCGCCACTTGCATTGGCACAGAGCACGAGGGTAAGCTGATCCTTCATCTGTTTGTAGCCAAGCAATGATTGTTCCTCTTGCATGATGTAGGTCCTCTTCGTCATTTTCTACCTAAACAGGCCAGTTTCGTCACAATTAAAAACTTGTTGGGGCAAGAACTCCTCTCTAGCAACAAATTCCTGGAACTCGGGCACAAATTTTTTGGTGTAAGGTACGGGATTGCCGTACCCTAGAGTATCGCTAACAACACCCGCTCTTACTTTCTTATAAATAATGAAAATAATCAACAGAAACTGAGGATGGAAAGAAGAGAGTCAGTTTCAAGGTAGTGTACTTGAATATAGATGGGATTACAAGCAAGGCAAGTGAACTTAGGGAAAGAGCACAAGAAGGGAACCTGGATGTAATTGAACCCGCGGAAACAAAACTCTCAGGAATCATAAAGAATGCGGGTGTTTCCCCTAGGACTACACTGTAATAAGGAGAGAGGGAAGGAAGGTGAAGAGGCAAAATAGCCCTACTGATAAGAAAGGAATGGAGTTTGGAGGAGATGGTTATCCCAGGCTGCAATGCATTCAGAGACTGCATAACAGGCACTATGAAGTTGGGAGGATCAAGAGTAGGATTAGCAGTGATATATAACCCTCCTCCAAATGATAGAAGACCCAGGCAAGAGTATAACAGAAACATCATGGCAGTTAATACTATAATTGAGAGAGCAGCCACTTCTGCCTCTAGAAATACTGTAGATCCATCTACTCATCATGGGAGACTTCAATCACGGAAGGATAGACTGGGAAAACAAGGAACCACATGGAGGTGAGGAAACATGGAGAGCTAAACTGTTGGAGATGGCTACAAAAAACTTTTTAAGTCAGCATGTCAGGGGACCCACAAGAATGAGGGGCAACAATGAACCAGCGAGACTTGACCTCGTCTTCACTCTGACTGCAACATCAAGGAAATCGATTTCGAAGCCCCCCCTTGGGAATGAGTGATCACAGTGTACTGATGTTTGAGTATCTGGTCGATTGAGGTTACATACTCTATTTCAGGTAGTTAGACTGGGAGGCTTTTCTGGCAGGTCCATGATGCGAAGGCATATCGAGTTTGTTCTGATCAGTGCTGATTGTTGTAAGGTTGCTGCCTGTCGTAGTTGTAGCTCTGTTGTATTGTGATTACTTAAGTGTAATTACCTAAGTGTAGTTATAGGATGAGAGCTACGCTCGTGGTGTCCCGTCTTCCCAGCATTGTCATATAACGCTTTGAAATTACTGACGGCTTTGGCCTCCACCACCTTCTCGCCTAACTTGTTCTAACTCTCTACCACTCTGTTTGCGAAACTGAATTTTCTTATATTTCTTCTGTATCTGTGTTTACTGAGTTTAAATCTATGACCTCTTGTTCTTGAAGTTCCAGGTCTCAGGAATTCTTCCCTATCAATTTTATCGATTTCTGTTACTATTTTATACGTAGTGATCATATCACCTCTTTTTCTTCTGTCCTATAGTTTTGGCATATTTAACCCTTTAACTGCGCGGCCTATAAATATGACACCCCCCAGTGCGCAAGAAATAAATTCTCGGGAAAAAATTCTTTTTAGTTCTGAAAGTGTCAAAAACCCCTCCCTGTATATGGGTATAGCAACGGAATTTTGAAATTGTACTTACTTTGGCTGCTATGGGGTCCATAAGGTGGCGTGTGACGTCATCATTCCCTGTGTGCCCGTGCAGTAAGCTCTCGGGGCCGGTGGGGCGCCCAGGGCAGGGCGCGCGAGTTGCTGCGAATATATATATTGTTCATTTTTTGCGCACAGTTCCAAATACATTTTTTTTGTTTTTATACACTAATCCTTTGTATAATGAATACGTACACTATATTATGGCAGTAAAACATCCGTACTGTCCAAGGACACTGTGTTACGTGCATGACACTTGTGTACACATATGTTGCACATATTTACCATGTATCATGCTAATTTATGTATATATACAATCTATTTACAGACTATACACTGTCACACACTATATACATTCACCATCAACACATTCAGAACACCGCGAGTGAGAGCTGTCACACCCAGCCAGCCCTCCCTCACTCCACCAACATTGTATTCACCAACTTTGCCCCTCCCATCATACAGTTATTCACACCAATGTTTCATGTTCATTTATGTATATTTACAACATATGTACACACTATACACTGTCACACACTATATACATTTACCATCAACACATTCAGAACATCGCGTAGCAGCTGCTTCGTATGGGCCAATAGGAGCTGCCTTGTATGGGCCAATAGGCTCTGCCGCGTATGGGCCAATAGCAGCTCCCTCGTATGGGCCCATATCAGCAGCCTCGTATGGGCCAATAGCAACTGCCTCGTATGGGCCAATAGCAGCTACCTCGTATGGGCCAATAGGAGCTGCCTCGAATGGGCCAATAGGAGCTGCCTCGTATGGGCCAATAGGAGCTGCCTCGTATGTCCAATCGGAGCTGCCTCGTATGGGCCAATAGGAGCTGCCTCGTATGGGCCAATAGCAGCTGCCTCGTATGGGCCAATAGCAGCTGCCTCGTATGGGCCAATAGGCCTTCTGCAGTTACCTTTGTTCTTATGTTCTTAGCTCCTTGTGCTCCTTGTACTCTTAGCAACGCTTGTGCTCTCTAGTGTGGAGTACTGCTGCACAATGACAGCCCCTTTCAAAGCTGGAGAAATTGCTGACCTGGAGAGTGTGCAGAGATCCTTTACTGCTAGAATCCACTCAGTAAAACATCTAAATTACTGGGACCGACTAAAGAGCCTAAATCTGTACTCCCTTGAGCACAGGCGGGAGAGATACATAATAATTTACACGTGGAAAATAATTGAGGGGCTGGTCCCAAACCTGCACACAGAAATAACATCACATGAGACCAGAAGACATGGCAGGATGTGCAGAATACCCCCGTTAAAAAGCAGAGGTGCAACAAGTACTCTGAGAGAGAACTCTGTCAACATCAGAGGCCCGAGACTGTTCAACACGCTTCCACTACACATAAGGGGCATAACTGGCCGACCCCTCACAGTGTTCAAGAGAGAACTGGATAAGCACCTCCAAAGGATACCTGATCAACCAGGCTGTGTCTCATACGTCAGGCTGCGAGCAGCCGCATCTAACAGCCTGGTTGATCAGTTCAGCAACCAGGAGGCCTGGTCGACAACCGGGCCGCGGGGACACTAAGCCCCGGAAGCACCTCAAGGTAACCTCAAGGTAAGGTCCTCTCAACATACACCTGTTGCTGTTATTACGCTATATACATACACACACTGTATATACCCATGTACATGTGTGTTCCCCATAGCGAACCACGAAGCTAGTATGGTGAGCAAAACAAGAGTGGC